TATAAAGTACAGTAACAGAAAAGACTAGTTAAATTAATTAGTCTTTTCTTTTACTGTTACACAACGATATTACTTTACAATATCTTCTCTAAAACTAAACTGATCTCGTATTCAAAATATTTTAGATCAGTATTTTAAAAGTATATTATATTTCAAAGACATTTGTTTAAATGCGTCGATACTAGGTTTAACTTAAAATAAAGTATTGCCTTGTACTACAGATGGTTGAATGCAGATTTCAAACTTTGAAATCCGCGTATCCATCCTCTATTTTCATAACACATGTTTGGAATTTCTTCAAACTTTGTAATTCTAACCAGAAACATCTCCGAGCACTTTTATCTTGTTTTCAGTAGTACCAATGCTTTGTGAGATTGTCTGTGATCTGGGATTATGTAATACAGTTGCGGTAGTCTGTCATTTGAAATAGATTTTTGCGATTACGTAGTGCCTAGTGTAACTTAAAATAATAATAATAACTTTTGGACAATTCACACAGCGCCATCTACTTCCAAGCCAAGCAGAACTTGTATTAAAGGTACTAGATATCTGACAAAATACGTAGTAATATATTTTTTTATAAATACATACGTAATATATATAGAAAATATTGGTCAACAACAACGATTATGAGAAAAAACATAGGCTACTTTTTAATGCGAAATAAGGGTTGTGAAGGGTAGAAAGGGGAGATGAAAAGTTGTATGGATATTCATCGTTTTTGAAGCTAGAACAATAAAACTTTTTTCTTTAGCTTTTTGAGTTAATTATTAATTATTATACGTATGTATTTCATTTGTAGAATAATTAGCCTAAATAATGAAAATTGCTATCCAAAGTCACTATTCACGCAGATGAAGTCGCAGGCACAACTAGTTGAACTATAAACATGAACTCAAAATGAATTTGAGATGCCGTTGTTTGCAATTCCAAATTGGTAACATAATCAATTCCCTTACGTAAATTATTGACGTATTCGCCCAGCGCTGTAGCATTAAATGGAGTGTTTAACTGTTTATGTATAATTGTCAGCCCTATATTCGAAAGCTCCCCGAAAGCTTGCCATTCACTCTCGGCGAAACTTGCGGAGGGTTTGACAAACGAGTGGCCGAAACGCAACTCACTAATTACGGACATCATTCCCGCACTTGATGACAAAGTTACTGAATACTTAGACCGGACCCGGTGTAGGGTTGTCAAACCAAACATCACTGAACTGATTTTTTTATTTAATCAATGCTAATTGAATGGCTCACGCACATGCTGGCGGGGCACCAGTGAAAGATGCTAGAATAAGCATGAAGTTAGTTCTTGCTAGTCTACTAGTTCGTAGTTGATTCTTGCTAGAATAAACAAGAATTAACTACGTTGGTTTCCAGGGGGAACCACGTGGAGGTCGACCTAAGTTGATTTGTTTAGCAACTGTAGGTTACTGTTCCCCAATACTGATAATCTGTTCCCCCCATTAGTGTACGTTTATTAATTATTTTTATGATATGATTATCCATCCGTCATTTTATAAACATAGTCTCATCAAGATACTGAAATTGTTTATCAAATCAAATCTAATGCAATATTATATATATATATAATATCTCTCAACAATACAACTCGACATATAAATTAACCACGGAGCCATTTTTCGTTTATGAAAATATATATCATGTACATAAAAATTAGTAGATGTCCCGTTTATATTAAGTGTGTTTAATTAAGTGTGTTTCTATCAGGAAAAAATATACATACATTAAAACTTTTTGTTAGAAATAGTACGAAATATAAAATAGAGCCACTGCCAACCCTAAGGGAAAGGGCCTCGCGTGCGAAAACTTAACGCTTGGCAAGAATATGCGGTAGCCCTTTAGTCTGCTAATGTTTTAGGCACTTTGCCCTGTGTTGCTTTTATGTTTATCCATGTTTTATTATAGCCCGAAATTCTGGTGTTGCCATTACCACCGGTGGGCACTGGGAATACATAATAAACAAATTAAACCCTCACATGTAATATGACAATTTAGTATTCCCAATTGGCAAACTTTAACTTATACATTTTATATTCATCATCTAAATGACCTAATTTTCTATTCCGTTGTGGTACAGTGGTTTAAAATACTGACTTATGTTTAAATAGTCCAAGGTTCGATTCCCACGCTATAAAAATAAATCGATGAGAGTATGATTGTTTGTACTGATCTGGGTCTCTTGTATATCTTTTTTTTTATATTATGTATTTGAAAATGGAAAAGATGGCAGTATATGACTCTTTTTTTTTTTTTTTTTTAATTTATATTGTATTATTATTGTGTATGTATTTAAAAAAGGAATAAATTGTGGTGTGTATAACGTTTATACGTTACTGAGAAATTTACATTCTCAAATATTACACTGTGTTTTTTTCTTTCCTGATCAACAATCATGAACGATTTAAAAATCCGAATCTATGAGAAATTTTAACTCTATACTTAATTCTTTATAATGTAAAATATAATCCGTAAATTTACTTTGACATTTTCTCATAGTAAGATACAACAGAAAATGTAACTATTATTTATTATGATACACAAATAAAAATATTGAATGTTAGAGCATTCAGTATTATTATTTGTACAGAATTAAAGAGAGATTTAAAATTCGTTTTCGCCAAATCGTCTCGTGTTTATTAATGAAATAAGGATTAAAGGTCCGATCGAACTTTCTCCGACCCATCAATATCTGTCACGGTGATACTTATTTATCCTGTCAATTATATTGTCATCTAATAATTTCTTTTACATTTTAAAATAATGTATTTACGAATAAATAACTCGTGTTTACCGAAATAACGTAAATTCCTACGGGAGGTGCTCGTCACTATTTCATTAGAAGATCAAGAAAAATAGGTTTTATTTTATTTCTTACCCAATTCGTTCCAGAATAAATTTGAATTCGAATAAATAAAATTGAATTCTTTATTTAAATTTCCTTATCTTTTTTATCTAAACTTCATGACTTTAAGAGTATTCTTTATTTAAATCATATAACAAGCAAAATTTTTACTTCATAATTCTCACGGATAATTCTAAATTCAAAAATTCATTCATTTAATATAAAAGAGTTTCATTTCTGTACGCAGGTTGTATATAGAAAGAATATACAATTAATAATCATTATGCAATATGTATTTTTAATTTACTGTCCATCAACAGTCCTTCTGTGACATCAAAGCGTGTAGTTTAGTAGTGACACATTTAGTTTTCATACAAATTGAGGTACTTACGTTATCTATCTTTATTTATGTCTGTGGTACACACCCTATTAACATGGCGTCCCTAATGGCGTCGCGAAGTAGGTACCAACATTACGCACATTGTATTAACAGTGACTTAATAATTTAAAACGGAAGGGTTGCCCATTACGCGAGCTCATTAGCGCAAGCAAAATAAAGCGCGCAATATAAAAGAATGACTAGACACTTCGGCCCCTAGACCAGTAGTTCCCAAACTGGGCTTTAGAAATAGAAATATTTTATTCCACTTAAATTAATACAAGCAGTTTTGAATAATAGTATTTTTTATTCAAACACTCATTCGGAACACAGATTTATCACAAGAAGAACTAGTAAGTTTTGTTGGTCTATTGAAATTTTATTTAAAATAAATATATATTAACAAGCAGAAGGCATGCGATAATCAATATAGCGACCGCTACGCACTCATTCTTGGTGCAATCAGATAAATGCCACGTTGGAAACTGTAAATGCTACGTTAAAAGACTTTAATTAATGTACCAGTTGTATTTTTATTAAATAGTATTTCGGAATTAAGTATAAGTAGCCAGCCGAACTGGACGGTAGGGGTAGTGTTCAATAACTTTGACGTGCACAAAGCAAAAAACGTTCGATATGAATAAATGATTTTGACTTTCGCTCTCGACCCACTTTTGGCCGCGAACGAATATTGAGAGCAGGCCCTGAAACAGATTATTCATGAAGTGACAATTTATTCTTCTTGTAAAAGTGAGACGTTCTAAACTTCACACTTGTGTTCTTGCATTTTTGACTTAAGCACTGTATATGTGAACCTCGATACAGACAGACTGAATGAGCGACGGCTGTTCATGTCAACTTTGCACCGTCATTCCTATTTAAATAGCAAATTAATGTACCGTAATATTTTCTTTTATTTGGACAGTCCTTCATTAATTTTGTTTCACTTAAGTCGTCATTACTAACCTAATCATTACTAATAGTGTACATCACTTTCTTTGTTTATATTTACTGATGCGTTCTTAAGGAAATGTTTATGAGAACTTTGGGAACCACTGCCCTCGACTATTTATCACATCGAATATTGCCCCGGTTTGTAAAATAAACGCAGATTGGAATATTTTTTCCGCACATATTCCCAATGGAATATAATCTCTGGTTACTTGATGAAAGTTGTGCTGTCTGTAGGGAGTTTTTATGTAAGAAACTTTATAATGTTAGGAATAGCAAATAAAAAGGTGAATATGTAAAGTTATGATTTGTTTAAAACGTTTTTAGATTTCCACATTGAATCTATATTGTTAATCGGGTCTTAATAAACAAGCAGACCCGGCCACGCGTTGCTGTGGCGAAGGTTCTTGAATAAAATAATATTGCGACTATAAATTGAGATGTAAGCTATCTTTCAAGTTGGATCCAATTGCACACAATGTGCAAATCAAATTTGCAATCGATTCGGTAGTTTAGGAGTCCATCGCGGACAAACAACATGACACGTAATTTTTATATAGAAAGATAAAGGTTGATCACCTTTTTTGTTAAGACCCGGTTAACAATATGAAAGTTTAAAAATAACATTGATTCTAGTTGAAAGTTCTTGTACATATACTATCATTGACATTGACTTTATGTATATATATTATGTATATGTAAATATATTATCACAAAATGCATTGTAATAATAATATTACTGGTTACTTACTTCATTTTATCTCAACTGAACAAATAATAATGTATTGTTTTGTTTTCTTTTCAGATCCTTACATGACTCTAGAGATGACTCCAAGCCCTGAACCACGGTTATGCGCAGTGAGTACAAAACATTACTATACAAAATTGAAATCGTTTATTTTATTCAAATGCTCTTAGATTTTAACATACATCATTTGATGGCCTCTGTGTTGGCACACCGCCACACACGAGTACGCTGGTTCAGTTCCTCGCACAGTAGAACATTTTTTTTTTTTGACAGAAAAAGAATTCTAAAAATTATTCTAAACAAAATATGTCTATGGCTAACACATTTATTAAATCTTATATATAAAATTCTCATGTCACAATGTTAGTTACCATACTTCTAAACGGCTTGACCGATTTTATGAAATTTTATATGCATTTTCAGTAGGTCTGAGAATCGGCTACTGGCTTTTTTTCATACCCTTAGGGGTATGAAAAAAAGCCAGTAGCCGTTATAATGGTCCACCCCTAACATTTTTTCCAAATTGGGGTTTGGTTATAGAAGTGTCTATCAACAACTCTTATTTTTTAATAGCGATTTTAATGTGTATGGCGAAACAACGTTTGCCGGGTCAGGTTGTTACATATAAAAAATGAAGTTGCAAAAACAATGTAGCTCAAGTTTTAAACGTCATTACTGTGATGTATTGGCTCCGTAGATAGGCATTCATAAGACGACGTAATATCGACAACTGCTACTGACATATTAGCATGAATAATTAATAATTCAATTACATACTGAGTTGCTATAATTAATTATACTGATGAATAATTAATTTCGACCCTCTTGTAATATTGGGCTAAGAATGTTTTAATAATGGTTGCTTTTTTTCAAGAAAAAAGCGCTTCATTATATTTGTGAAGTCAATAACACACACATAAATGTTCACATTATTATATTTTATTAATAATGGTTGCAAAAGGAATCATAGTCAAGGATGATGCATGGATGATGAATGGAATGATGCACCCGTCTGTGCTAATGATTTACGCTGGCAGGGGATCAGTGAAGGATAATAAGAAGAGCTTGAGGTCAGGTCATCCATCGTGACTAATTGCTGCGTGAAAGTCTACATGGACATACTTACATGGGACATGGGGTTATTAGTTCACATTACCAAAAATCCTCTCCCCCTCATAGTAAAAACTACTAACTTAGGTGCACGGGTATTATTAGTAATGGTGTTTTCATTGGCATAATTTCTAGCAATATGCTAAATTGCTAGGAAAGGGAACAATAATGGAAACTGTCAAGTCGATCTCCACACAGTTTCCTTTGGAAACAATTGTGGTAAATTCACGATGAATTCGACAATATGTGCTGAATGCTCTGAGGAATTTCATACATCATCCATGGATACGTCGCTAGTATAAGCAGCAGTGCCATTAAGACTTCATTCAGAGAGATAAACTTCTTAAGCCTTCCATGGATTCGCCGTGCGAGAGCCGAGTCCATCATGTGGCAGAGAGGGAAACTCCGAGCAGTTCTCGGAACTTGTGACCCGACTGTAGGTTTAAGAAGCACCTTGCCGACATACGTCAGCACTCACCTTTAGAGCTCGTGTTTCTCTCCCTGCCCCGAAAAATCTGACAGATACTGCTAGTGCAGCTTTAGATATTGTAGTCTAGAACTTATTGCAGTTTTAGACCGGCGAAGATTGTAATATATTTACATAATATTGTAATCTTCTGTAATTATACCTTCTAACTTAAAACAAAATAATTATTAGAGAGATTTGAGGGAAAAAACAAAACAATGTACCATTCATTGATTCAAAATCCTTTCCAAGAACACTTGGCATAATGTTATTCCAAATTTATTCTGCTCCAACTGTTGTACATTGAATACGATTAGCATTGCATGAATAGAAGAGTAAGTGACCACTTAACTAATAAAAAATGTTACTCCATACTTACATAAGGAGAAGAAAATATCACATACGCGTAGGAGTATCGTACTGAATTTCACCGAGACTTATTCATGGTAGGACTAGTATTGCTGCAAATAATGTACACAGACAGTAGATGAGCTGTGAATACCTTAAATATCAGAATAATATAAGATATAAATAAGGTCGTAATACAATAATAAGTATCAAGGAAATCGAGAAAAAAATTAATCTGAGAGCTATCTTGGTGTGTAAATTGTCATGTGATTGTAACCAACAGTTACATATCATAGCCACTTTAAATTCAAATCTTATAAACTTTTAATAATATCCCAATGATATAATTTGAACAGCAAATATTACGTTCAGTTTAATGCTACTGACTACCAAATTTGCGATTACAATTGTGAAATTAAAAATAATATAAAATTGTACTAACATTGAAAACTACATTACAATTAGTAAACACTGGGACCTAATTGATTTCAGTTGGCTCCTATTATTAGGACCGCCCATGGCCGAGTCGAATGCAGGGACCATTAGCGATTACAATTAACAAGAGGTGTCATATTTATTTATTAAATTAAAAACTGTATAAATTTCTGCTAACATTGTTTCAAACACAACTGCAGTCAGTAAGCACACTGGAACCCAACTTGCTGTAAGTTGGGTCCTAACAATAAAGGCCGCCCGTGGCCGCGTCGAATGCAGCGAGCTGCGCGCACGCACGCTCCGCTGCTTGTATCGTATGTTAATTTATTCCTTCGACCTCTCACCCTGCATGCAAATTTTTAAGTCACCATCTACGGTCATGGTCACGCGAGCAGCTATTGTAACGTTGTATGTATTGCTAAGCTTATTTAGTAATTGCTTTGCCATGCGTGTGACGAATTATTTCGAGAACCTCCATGGTTTAGCGGTTTAGTACACCGCCTTACTTCCGGTGGTCGTGGGTTCGATTGCTCAATACAAACATTTGTATTGATGAGTATTATTGTTTGTATTGGTCTGTGTGTTTTTAGGAAAAATTGTATGTATGTATTTCTATCAATTATTGTTATGATATGGGTACACTGAAGTTCTTCGATTGCTATTTGCACAAGTTGGAGTATTCCAGTTGTTCTAAATTAGCATTATAACTTATAAAACGGACAATGGAAATTTATTAAGAAATATATAATCATATAGATGATTATATATAGGTATTATGAGGAAAGTAAACGTTGAAACGACTGCAGGCTGCAGCAATATAAGAAATCATTCACAGTTTCATAGGTAAGGAAAGTCCAGAGTTACATAGTCTGTACATTGTTTTGATGTATATAATATTCACAAACTTATTTATAAGTACCTATCGATATTACACAACTAGTAGACATACTGAAATTGTTTGAGAATAATTGTGTGAGTGTTGTTTATTTATTTACGTTTAATGTGATACCAATACATCTATAGAAGTTTATACATGAATTTTAAAAATAGTTACTTTGAAGACAATTCACACACTAAAGACGTTGGATTTCATCTTAAATAAATGTCGGAATATACTATGTTGTATGTATATTTCACATACATAATGCAGGATTCGATCCAATACACCTGTGCGTAAACTTATATTTATGTATGCACCTTTATACGTCCATTTCAAATGGTTGGGCGTAAGTTACAGGAAATGGGCGATTTTACTAGCATGTAAAGCGTAAATCTGAACTTGCCTTATTTAAATATATCAGTATCTAGTACCAATAAGGCGAGCTCTACTTACCATGGGACTAGGCGCTGATTAATTGTCCAGGGTAAGGGTACATTTTTAAAATTACATCCCTTATAATTTATTCAAACGCGGCAGACCCTTGGTGATAACGGTTAGAATGCTCTTAATTTTAGTACGAATTAGTTATATTTAAATTTTCTGGTAAGGCTTTCTTCAATATTTCATCAATCATGAATTTTATTCTGTTATAGACAATTTAATTAAACTGCCTTTGTAAGTATTAAAATATCGTTGTAATCATATCCGCTTCCGCTTGTGACTTGTATTCGGGTGCAAGTCACATCCACACTGTAGCGTCCCGGCATTGTTTAGCATAACATAAACTGTCCGAAGTGCACACTAGCGAGCGGAGCGACCTTTTACGCCGGAGAGCATCGGCGCCGGCGCATACCATTTGAATATTTTGCACTCGGCAATAGTGTGTGCGCACCTTTATTCAGGTGTTAATATTCCATGAACTGAAACTTTAATTTGAAATTCAATAGAGTCGCCTCGCAGTCTGTTTATGGGGTTTATACCTATACATATATCATATGTATTTACTTATGAGATGCGCCTTAACTTTTAAGGATTATACTGTTTTTTTTTTTAATATATTTTAGCAGCACCTTAATACAATATTATTTGGCTAAGGATAGTGTAATATTTTAGTGCAGGCGACTGTACATTCTTGCAATATTTTCAATAATTACCTACAATTCTTTTCTTTTTAATTTTCAACAATTAGATTACTGTCAGTATGATTAAAGAGTAAAACGACCTGACGAAAATTATTCTATACCACACCGCATGGCCAGCTAGGTAATAGTCATTTTATAATCTCCTTCTATGCTCTATTTTACTCCTCGAAGAAGGAAATTGTTAAACCCTTGCTACAATATAATATATAATATAACTATAATAGGTTCATCATTTTGTGTACCAAAAAATCTGCAAACCAATCGAGACATTTTAACTATATGTAAAATCAGAATAAAATTACAAAAAATAATAATCAAAATTTATTTGTTCGCACTCACAAAACTACTTGTTGAATTGATAAACGCATTTTAACAGCCAGTTACAAAATATTATGTAATAAAAAAACTTTCATCCCCTATTTTATCCCCTTGGGGGTAGAATTGATCAAAATCCTTTCTTTGCGGATGCCTATGCCATAACATCTACCTGCATGCCAAATTTCAGCCCGATCCGTCCAGTGATTTGGGTTGTGCGTTGATAGATCACTATGTCAGTCACCTTTGAGTTATATTTAGTATATTGCTCGCTTAATAATAATCAATAATCAGAACTAATGAGTTATTAAAATAAATTAACGTTATTTGGCCTCGGTAGTTTAGTGGTTTAACACACCTCTTCGCTTCCGGTCGCAAGTTCATGAGTACCTATGATTTGTATCGGTCTGGGTG